AGGTAAAAATGTAAAATGACTGCACATGGGCATGAGGGATCTTTTGGGGACAGTGTGGATATTCTAAAAACTCAATTATAGTGATAGTTGTACAACTCTATAAATTTACTAAAAAAATATTGAATTGTAATAGCTTTATAATGGATGAATTTTATGATATGTAAATTATACCTCAGTAAAGCTTTTTAAGATAAGTTTCTGTCTATGCTAAAATTATTCTAAAATAGGCTGGATACAATAGCTCATGCCTATAATCCCAGCACTTTAGGAGACTGAGGTAGGAGGATTGCTTGAGGTCAAGAGTTTGAGACCAACCTAATCAAAAGTGGGACTCAATCTCTACAAACAAATATAAAAATTGTCCAGGCATTGTTGTACATGCCTATAGTCTCAGTGACTCAGAAGGCTGAGGTAGGAGGATTGCTTGAGCTCAGGAGTTTGAGATTGCAGTGAGCTACAATGATGCCACTGAACTCCAGCCCAAATGACAGAATGAGACCCTGTCTCAAAAAAGAGATTAACTGTCTAGTTGTGCCAAAATAAATATAATTTAAAAAACAAATAACAAAATGAGAAAATATTTGCAACAGTTCAGACACTGTGTTAATGTTCTTAATACACATAGCCTTAAATACCAGAACCCCAAATGGCATTTTCTTCAGACCCATTTCCTTAAAAGAAACAAAGGCCACTCTAGTTATCTTATTTTAAATATATAACAGGTGGTCTAATCATTCAAGAACAAGAAAAGTGGTACACACAGGGAGTGGTTCTGGAAAGGCAGGAGCTGAGACTGCCCACTCTCTCATAGCCTTGCATAGGTAGCTCTTCTTTCTGTATGTCTGTTTGATTGGTGTCTGCATCTCTTAGTTCATAGTCTCAAAACGTGGATTGGCAAGCCATGGATTGGTTTACTGCCTACCACTTGTCCAGCTATCTGTCAGTATTACAAAGATAAGACTTTATATTATCTGAGAAAGAAGTGTAGACAGAATAAACAAATTAACTAATATGCCTATAGTAGACATACCAGTCATAGCAGGAAATAAGTGTTTGAGAAAAAATATGCATCCTCACCCTTATCAATCAAAGAAACAGATTTAGGCTTGGCAACCTGGTTCACACCTGTAATCCTAGCACTTTGGGAGGCTGAGGTGGGAGGATTGCTTGAGGCCAGAAGTTTGAGACCAGCCTGAGAAACATAGCAAGCCTGCATCTCTACAAAACAAATTTAAAAATTACCAGGTGTGGTGGTGCCAGTAGTCCCAGCTACTTGGGAGTCCGAGGGAAGAGGATCACTTGAGACCAGGAGTTTGAGCTATGACAATGCCACCATACTCTAGCCCAAGCTAGAGAGTGAGTGAGATCCTATCTACAAAAAAAAAAAAAAAAAAAAAAAAAAAAAGAGAGAGAGAGAAACATTTAAATGGTAAGGGACTATTAAAAGATGTGAAGTAAAAGGGAGACTACCACA